CAAGCAGCCTCTTCCTCTCCCTTACATATGCAAACTATCCACCCCAGGGCGGGTGTAGCTCTCACACCCATAATCAATCAAACTCTAAAAGCCTGCCCCATGACTGCATGAGGCTTTGGGGGGGACACACAGACACAAACCATAACACTTTTCCTTTTTACTCCATCCAGGCTACAAGCCTATTGGTTGGTGGTCATCTGTCTTCATTAAACCCCTTTGGCCACACCCAGACCTGTGCTAAGCCAGTCAGTTGTACTTTCTTACTCAAGCTAACATAACAGCCAACTGTCTCAGTACCTCCATCCTCCAGGGATGCTCTACTCTTTTCTTTTTTCTTTTCTTTTCTTTTCTTTTTCCTTTTTTTTCTTTTCTTTTCTTTTCTTTTCCCTTCTTTCCATCCTTCCTTCCCTCCTTCCTTCCTTTTCTTTCTTTCTCTCTTTCTTTCATTCTTGTGTTGTTTTGTGTATTTTTTGAGACAAGATCTCATTATGTAGTTTAGGCTATCCCTGAACTCACTTTTGTAGCCCAGGCTAGCGTCAGACCTTGAGGCAATCTGCCTGCCTCAGTCTCCTGAGTGCTGTGATTAGAGGTGTGTGCCACCATGCCTGGCTTCTCTCCTCTTTTTTAAGAAAAACGTAGTCAAGTAATACATACTGTGTGTTTAGAAAAATAGCAGATGACTTGAAAAAGGTAAAAAAAGCAAATGTATCTATAGGTGTAAACATAAAGATAAAAACATGCATAAATTACATACTGTATGCAAATTGAAGTGTGTTGATAGTGGGAAAATACATAGTATTTGAATATTGTATATGTGGGATGTGTATCATATACATATTTTTATTCTAAAATTATTAGGTTATGCTAATTATTATGGCACATGATGTTTCCACTTACCAATGTACTGTATCTGCTTTTCTGCTATTGACAAATTCAGCTCTTCCTGTCTTGTTGATGGCTGTATAGCATTCCAGCCTGTGGGTGTAACATGATTCACTAAGCTTGTCCTTTATTTCTTAATGTTTTTGTCACTTGCATTTATGTCGTAAATAATGCTGTATGGAACGTCCTGGAGATGTGTATATGTTACTTTAGTAGGTACATATGAATTAGTGCCATTCAAAGTCATGGAATGCCTCGGTAGGTGGGGCACAGTGTATGCATTTATAAAGTTTTAGTAGCTCCTGCCATATTGCTCATCAAAAAACTAATTTGCATATCCTCCTCTAGTGCTTGAGCTTGCCAGTTCGCTAGACTCTTGTCAAGGTGAGATACAGTATTATCATCTTTTTCTCCCCCAATCTAATGGGCAAACTGATGTGATTTTCCTGATTAGAAAAAAGATTATTGTTTTCACATGTTCATTGGTTATTCCTTTGTAAATAGATGGTCTTTGCCAGTTTTAAAAACTGGCTTTTCATATTCATTTTAG